CCCCGGCCTGACAACATTTTTTATTTGCAGTTTTGGTCTCAAAATTCAATTTAGTTGCATCTCTAATGATTACCTAGTTTTATGGTAAAATATTAAAGATGAGGTCACGTCGGGTAACAGCCAAACATGTCAAGCCCTAAAAATGCGTGCGGCCGCAAAATCCCAAAAAACTACCATACCCAAAGTGGCTCATAGGGGGGCGCACACTTCCCGCACCCCTCCCTCACCCTTCCCACACGATACGAGCGATTGGACGGCTCGATAGCCACATCAATGCTTTTATATATCAAAGCTATAATTTGTTAAAATTTCCAGCTCCCAATCCTGCGCTAGTGGTTGCGCACCAGCGTGAGCGGGATAGAACGTTTATAAACGCCCACCTGCCCTTATGTGGCTGCTGGTTTATGTACAATGGCTGTATGGCAACCAGTTAAATACAGTCCGGCACGGCACGCTACGCATGCGCTGTTTGACCCTTCCCTTACTCCGCTTCCTACTCTGTCCTGGCTACCCTAGCAATGGTGGCAGTGTATGGAGCCAGTACAAAGTCGAGCAGTGTGAATGGGCCTGTAGCACATAATAGTGCTGCATCCAGATCTGCATAAATTACAGATCTGAACATAGTAAATTTGATGTCTGTGCGCATGAGACCTCGATAGAATTTTCATTTGAATGCAAAATTTTTCACATAGTATACCTTGAAGAAAATTCTAATGTTTCCACATCGGAGTTTGTTTTAATTTGAATATTTACTTATCTGATTAGGAGCTAAAAACAAAAAAAATAGAAACACATAGATACTAGACATCTGTAACACACATGGTGTTGCATGCTACATACATCTTGAAGACAACACGTGTCACAGCGACCGCGTGGCCTAATGGATAAGGCGTCTGACTTCGGATCAGAAGATTGAGGGTTCGAGTCCCTTCGTGGTCGATTTTGCCTTTACTTCCAGGTTACATTATTTTGATAGATTTCTGACTGCCTTTGTATTCTACTATTAGGTATGGAATTCATTTTGTGAATAGTCCGCAAATAATCAGCATTGGTCAAGCTACTGGTTAAAATATATGCTATATTGTTTAGTAGTAAAACATACACATAGTATAAACGTGTATCCGTGTGCTGTTGTGGCTATATGGCAGAATAGCTGACTACAATCTATGTACAGCCCCAGTGGCCTAATGGATAAGGCACTGGCCTCCTAAGCCAGGGATTGTGGGTTCGAGTCCCATCTGGGGTGGATCATTTTTTTTAAATTGGCCCTAATAATATTGATTATCTTTCTTCGTTTAGCATAAAAAACCTATTCTGCCATATTTTTCTTAGTCCCATATTCATGCGTTCACAAAGGTGAACAACTTTCAACACAATTGTTTTCATAATCCAATGTAAAGCATTCAGACTGGGTTTATTTCAAATACTGTGCAGAATTATTCTGCAAAGTCTGAATGCTTTGCAGAATAGCTAACATCGGAAATCGGTTTACAGGGTCCCAGACATCCTGAATAGGGGAAATCTTCCCTGACAGATGAGAATTGTAGTGATCCTTTGTATTCGCTATTTGCTGCACAATGCCTCCATAGCTCAGAGCTGACACAGCGACCCCTGCTGGACATCAGATTCCGCTGTTTTCAATGGGCTGGAAGCAAACCTGTACTAAGACCTGAGCAGAGTAGATGGACCTGCACGGAGAGGGAGGTTCTCTTTTATCATTGCATGCTTTGTGTTTGGTACAATGATAACTATAACTCTCCATTCACATCTATGCGACGTATGAATGCATACGTTTCTGTATTATGTAAGATCGCATGTGACAATGTTTGCTGCGCTGCCGTGCTCATTATCTCTTAATGGCACCCCAATGCACCTAGCCATTGCATGTGTGTTGCATCACACCATAATGCATGATAACATATTGCCATGTGTTGTGGTGCGACGTGATTTGAAATGAAGGGTCATGCACGGTGCGATTTAGATGCGGTAGGCAGCTGATTCAAATGAATGCCCTGCCTCAATGCAAGGTATCAAGTCTAAAAACATGCTGCAATGCGTGTACAATGTTGCATTGCACAGAGATGAACTCAGGATAAGGAACTGTCTGTAGGGAGTAGTTGGGAAGATATCATCTAGTACAGAGGTAGGTAAACTTCAGCTCTCCCAGCTGTGGTGAAATTACAAATCCCATTATGCCTCTGGGAGTCCTGCCTATGGTTTTTAGTCTTGCAATGCTTCTTGGGGCCGAAGTTTGCCTATCCTTGATCTAGTGCAATGAGCTGATTGATGCCTAACTCCAGGTAGGGCACCCCTTTTGTTCTGTATACATTCCTTTATTCCAGGGGTCTTCAATGTGACATCCTGGGGTGCTCAGTCCTCTATGCTGCAGAGAATGGTGTGAGTATATTGGGAGTGCATTGGGATTCCATGCACCAGCGCACCTAGCATGTTTAGCACAACACTAGGGTGTGAATTGACCCTAAGGGATTTACATCCCCTCCACATGACTGTTGCAAGCACTAACACTGGCTATAGATGGCACAGAATGGGTGGCCCTGCAAACCTCCCAGATTGACAAAAGTCAATTTAAACATCAACTGAGCCGGGTGGAAAATATCAGATGCAGTCACTTTACAAGTATTCATGCAGCCGCGGGTGCTGGGCCTGCTTGAGGAAATAGTCGACACTGGAGATTCCTCCATCGACACTGTTAGTCAAGAGAAAATTGGGCAGCATATGGCCAACTGTGGGGACAGCCCGGGTTTTGAATGCTGTGTCCGGGTTTCATGGCAGCAGAAACCCAGACACAAGATGTCAGGCAGTCAGGGGCAACCAAAATTAAGATGGGGCTACTGGCCCCCCACTGAAAATAGTGTCAACTGTGATATTTCCATATGAATGGACGGTGCTATTTCCATATGAATAATCTACGACTCATTTTCCCATTCTCACTGGGAGGACAGCGCTGTGAGCGGCCGGCGTCTCTCCTCTCCGCACCACCCAGCCTCCTGTGACAGATCGAGAGAGCGGTGTGTGCGAGGTGACAGCTCTCAATGCTAGTCCATGAACCCATCGCACTCCTGACCGCTTTTCTCCATGTAAAATAGATGGGTGCTGCGGTGACAACGGATGGCAGCCGTTCTCAAGTAAGAATAATAATATGGACACCAGCACTCAGATTGCTGTACAGATGCATCTCTTTATTGACGGATATGCAGCATATCACATATATTGCAAGGTTTTGGGGGTCTCACATGATCCCCTTCTTCAGGCAGAGCATGTGATGCTGTCACAGGAGGCCGGCCGGTGGTGCGGGGGAGGAGTCAGCTGTCAGATCGAGATGTCCTCCCTGCACTCTCGATCAAGGATGGAGAGCGGGTACAAAGACTCAGCGATCGCTGAGCGTTTGTACATAACAGAGGACAGAGTATGGTTACTGTGTCCCCAATTATGAATGAATGGGAAGTGATCTACATCACCTCCTGTTCATTCATGATTGTGGATATAGTAAACATACTCTGTCCTCATGTTATGAATGAACAGGAACACTCAGTATAGAGGATTCCTGTTCATTGATAACAGGGGCTGCAGAAAGAGAGATTGATGATTTTGTGTCCTCATTCTCTTTTTCTATTTTAAAAAGGGAAATATCAGGGGTCTGTTTAGACCCCCAATATTTCCCCAAAGCCCCTAAAAGTAAAGTAAAAAATAAAACATTTAATAAAAATAAAATCAATTTGTTTTTTTTTAAAGTTTATAAAAAATAAAAATATATTTTTTAAAAAATTGAAAAAGTTATTTTTTTTTTCGGTTTGACTTTTTTCATTTTGGTTTCTTTTTTGAAATTTTCATTTTGGTGCACCTCTAAAAAAAAATACCACACCCAAAATTGGCCATAGGTGACGTTTCAAAAGCTTTTGCCGCTCATCAATTTAGTGTTATCAGTGACTGATGGCCCTAAAATTATTGCTCATACTCGGATGTTTGCGATATGTAACATAATGGGCGCAATTGTCATTTTTGCACGTAGGCGCACTCGACGCATGTTTGTGTGTGTATGTGGGGGACTTTGAAACATTTTTTGACTAATTTTTTTTTTTTAAACGTAACTTTATTGTCATCACATAGGGGGTTCAGCATTCCTCTATGTGATATGAAATTAGTGACAGGTCCTCTTTATGGAGACAGGGGGGATCTCTAAGAACCTAATGTCATCTAGGGATCCCCTAAGAAGCAGAGATCCACTTCACCAGCTTCTCTCCGGCTTCTGTAGCCAGAGAGCGACAGCTGAATGCGGAAGTGATGTAATAAACATCACTTCCTGCATTCACAGAACGGGGAGGAGATCGAAGGGAGATGGTGTGCTGCACTCCCTGCACAGAGCCAAAATGCCGGTCCCGGGCCTGCACGGAGTCCGGGATCGTGGCAACGGAGGGGGGCGCACAAAGGTACCACATACAAGCGATCGGGCGTCTGTACAGAGGCCGGGCTGCTTGTATGTAAACAGCTATCGCTGGTTGTTTCAAATTTGGACAGTTTCCCGCCTGGCGCACACAAAGGACGTTTTAAGACGCCCACCCGCATCTACAAGGCTCCCGTGCGGCCGTTTTGCTATGTTCGGCGGACGGGAGGTGGTTAAGATATAAAAACATGTCCACATGACATCTTCGCATCTAACGAAAACAGAAACATATTATGTCGTATATGTATAATGAATGGGGAAATTTGGAAGAAAATACATTCTCATTCTACGGTCTCTTGTTTCTCAAGAGTGACCGATGACTGTGTGGAAATGACAGTACCATAGCTCAAACACAAAGTGCACATTTAATAGTCACTGAACACTGGGAAATCTGTACAGAAGTTTATTAAATATTTATAATAATGTATAAAATGCTGCAATCTTACACAATGTGTAGAGCACATATTACATTTTATCCCCCAGAAATCTTTATTATTCACATCTGGCTGTTGGGCCTCTTCATAACCATCACTGTAATACAAAGTCCACTACTGTAGGCTTGGCATCACCTAGTCCATGCTCACACTCCTATTCTGTTTTATGGAGGAATTCATCTTCTTTTGCCGTAACCGTTCATGGTTCATATTTTGAAGTCTGTAAACAGAAACATATTACAGATAATTTAATCAAGAGCTTGGAATACATTAAGAGTTTCAACTATAGAAAACAAGTAAGAGAAATACTTTCTATGACCAACATTTTTTAGTTCAGTCTTGGATTGCGTAGGGAGGTATTACAACCAGTGATGTTTTTATTGCTTAAAAAGCGTATAAAAGAACCCCTCTCTATAAATGACATACTATTCTAAAAAAAAAAAAAAAATCTATGCAGTGCTTAGCGCAATAGCTATAAAGGCCTTGAGCCCAATAGAAGTTTATATAGCGCAATAGCTATAAAGGCCTTAAGCCGCATACCATATGAAATTCAGCAAAAAGGTCTCAGCTGCCGTTGTGATGTGCGGGGTCCCTTGTGCGTCCCTATGCCTTTAAGGGATGTTGGGCTTCATCCTGACAAACCTGCACCCAATTTTATATTTTGCCACATGTGCACCAAGATGGAGACTCTCATGGGTTAGCGTTAGGACCACACTATGTAGAGGTGCCTTGGCGCGGCTTTCACATTTTCTGCAGAAGACGTGTATCTAAACCTCTGTTTTTAACCTTAGCGGTGAGACAAGTTTTTTTTGCATGCTGGCTGGTGCGTGTGCTGGGAAACTTTTTGCTGTTACTGTTTAAAGCCCTTTCATGTGCACCTTGCTTTAAAGCTAGTAAATTGATGAGTGCGTTTGCCATTTGCTTTGCTTGTCCATATGAAATTCAGACCCACTTATAAAAAGGGTGCTATAATGAAATAGCAGATTGTGCTCCCACAACACAAGTCCCAATCCAAGATAACCCCAGCACACAAGATATTCAGATGAGAAGATGGGCAACTTAATTGTAACCAACAGCAAGTGACATTTCAAGGCCACTAGATCTACCTCAGACAGCAGTCACTGATGAAGAGGTCTCTAGTGGCCTCGAACCATCACTTCCTGTTGGTGACAATAAAAGGTCCTGTCCTCTCATCTGAACATGGTGTGCTGGTGATATCTTAGACTGGGACATATCTACAGCTGGTGGCCCTGCTCAGTCTATGTGATGCTCCTGATGCATCTCTGGGGTATTCATTGTCCAAGAGTGGCAAGATCCCCAAACAAGTGGGGAAATCAAAATGCGCCATTTTCAACATTCTATAGGTAACTAATTCTGGGCATAATAATGACAGACTCTAGCTCTTGCCCGCAGATGTTTTTTTAAAATATTCAATGGATTGCATATACCCTTTACATGGAAAGAGATCATATTCCTTTGAGTTTTGAAAGTGGACCATTGTGTTTAAAACTCCATATTTGCATTAACAAAACAGCTTTTTGACACTTACTGCAATGAGATTGCTGTTTACATGGGATGAGATCGTATTCCTTTGAGTTTTGCAAGTGCACTATGGTGTTCAGATCTCCATATCTGCACTAACAAAACAGCTGTCTGACACTGACACTTGTTGCAAAGAGATTTCTGATGTTCAAAGATTTGCAAGACCTAGATGTTTGAAATAATAATGGGAACACTAATCCATTATGGGAACCTTGATGATTTCCATGATAGGTCGTAATGCAAATTTTCAGGAATATTGAGTCTTGTGGAGGTCGATGAACATTGTGCAACTGGTCACTGGCGGTATACATCAGTAAACTGTACTCATAAGATATACTATCGCCAAATCTGTGATCTAGGAGCACCCCCAGATCTTTCCTCATGTCCGACTTCCCCAATGGCGCACACCCTTTAGTAGTTTGCACACACGTTCTTGGCTCCCGTGTGCATAACCTTACATTTTTCAATATTAAACCGCATTTGCCATCTTGTAGCCCATGCTTAAAATTTTATCAAGGTCCTGTTGAAGTGTGTATATATTTCCTGTTCTTAATTTACTGCTCTGCAGAGTTTAGTATCGTCCGCAAAAATCAAAAATCTAACTATTTATCGTAGTTGATGTATAAGATAAACAGAATCTATCCATGGACCGAACCCTGGGGCACCCCACTCCCAACTTTTGCCCAGTTCGAAAATGACCCATTTATCACTACCCTCTGGGTCCGTTCTTGCAGCCAGTTTTCCACCCATGTACATACACTTTCATCCAAACCGACAAACCTTAGTTTATGGATTAAACGTTTGTGGGGTACTGTATCGAATGATTTAGCAAAGTCCAGATACACCACGTCTACTGTATTCCCATGTCTAAATTAATACTAGCTTACTCAAAACGTTTTTTCATTTAGCGCTGTTAAGACTTTGTGGATTATATCATAATTTACTTGCGGGGACAGTTAGAACTGAAAAGTGAGTTAAACTGTCTTGGTGAGAAGTGTGAAAACCAAGAGTGGATCCAAGAAGGAAAACCTGCAAAAGGGTCACTGGCGGCCAAGGCTCATTGATGCATTTGGGGAGCAAAGGCTGGCCCGTGTAGGCCGAGCCAATAGAAGAGCTACTGTAGCTCAAATTGCTGGAAAAGTTAATGCTGGTTCTAACAGAAAGGGGTCTGAACACACAGTGCACCACAGTTTGTTGTAAATGGGGCAGCATAGCCATGGACCGGTCAGGGTGCTCATGCTGACCTGTGTCCATGGCCAAAAGCGCCTACCACCTACCTAAACATTGTTGCTGACCAAGAACACCCATTCCTCATGGCAGTGGCGTTATCGAGATAATGCGCCTTGCCACATTGCAAAAATGGTTCAAGAATGGTTTGGGAAACACAACAACGAGTTTTAGGTGTTGACCTGGCCTCCAAATCATAATCCAATTGAACATCTATGGAATGTGCTGAAAAAACAAGTCCCATCCTTGGGAGGCCCCACCTTGCACCTTACAGGACTGCTACTGATGGCTTGGTGGCAGATACCACAGCATACCTTCAGAGGTCTAGTGGAGTAAATGTCTTGATGGTTTACTTTAAAAAGGGGGACCTACTCATAATGCTATGGCTGATCGGATATATATATTTTCATAGGCTTAGCCTAACCAGCATGTGAATGTGCTGAAGCC